TCTATGAATCATGTATCTCAGAAATGCTTGAGTTATATGCATATAAACCCTGGAATCAAACTAATAGTGTACATAGGCTCTAGGATCCTGAAGGAACAAATGGTACCATGGGACTGCATCTCCTGACGTTGCACTTTGTTTCGTGAATTAGACCTTTAGGTCGAAGGCTCCAGTTCTGGTCCCGTAAGAAAACCCCCTGCTTTAGTCTGGGCACCCGGAAAGTATCACAGCCTCCACATGTACCAGGCGATTTGTGTGGTGCATATGTATTCATTGTTTCCTTGAACCAATAGTTATGTGTTCAAATAAATAAAATAAATAAATATACAACTGAAGATAACTATATTGATGAAAAAGACTTTGTGTATTACGGTGACTTTTAAATTTGAAGTTTTACATTACTGAGTGACTTTTCTTTAAGCAAGCATTGGAAACCAGACAGATTGTTATGTGAATGAGGAATCCCATATTTCAAGATGAAATAGTTGTTCAGTATTACTCTATTTTTTATTGGTTGTTTAACAAAAGTCAATCCATGATATAAAACTTCATATAAACTTTTAGATAAACGAAAAAAACAATTTTAATAGTTGAATTCATAGTTTGATTTAATCTAGATCACCATTGAAAACCGGGAAAGATTGTGCAAGATTATGGATCGATTGAAATTAATCATTAATCCTGTTAGATTCCGAACTCCACCTGTAGCTCATCCGAGGGCTACTGCTGGTTTCAAGTCCGGCTAAAGGAGGAGGGTTGGGCATGGGGTTAGCGACCCCATGAAGGAATAACTATGACGTCTCATGATGAAAGCCAAGTTCCTTCAGTGGTCATGAGGCTGATCCACCTTCTAACAACCAGAGCAACACTTTTTCTAGGTACGTGGAATGTCCGAACAATGTAGGAGATTGGAATAATTTTTCAATTGCATGTTAGATTCCAGCTCAGCGCTCTAGAGACTAAGTGTTCACAAGCGAGACATAAGATCCTATGTCCAATTCCCGTATACAAGACCTTATATATGTATTGCTGAAGATTTCCATACTAAAATGTAATAATTATCCAGTGCTTTTAGATTTTCAATAATTATCTAGCTTAAATTGACTCTAGAATTCAACTATAAAGAAAAACAAAACAAATTATTAAATAAATACTCACTCATGCAAACCTACATTAGTATAAATCGATTTACATACACATACACAAATGTATAACAAGTAAACATTCATTTATTTAGACAACAAATTTTTTTAATTTTTTTTTGTCATTTTCTCCGTTTTTTGTATGAAAAAGAATTTTTCACATAGTTTTTCCTTATTTTATTATTTTTTTCTTTTTATGGTCTAACTAACTAAAAAAAAGCTAAAATTATGAAATATTTCATTAAAAAAAGAGGAAAAAAAAGAGAAAAAAACGAGAGAAATTCTGTAATTTAAGGTTTTCTTCATTAAAAAAAACACACAAAAAAAACAATCTAAAAACAAAACAGGTTTATAGAACATAAAAGATTAAAGAAAAAAACCCACTTAATCACTGTGAAGAGAAAAACAAACAAACAAACGACCCCATGGTATAATCGATTTTAACTGAGGTGTGTTCTTTAAAGTAAAAGAAAAACGATATTAAGTTCTGTCTAAGTAAAGTAAACTATGAATAATAATAATAATAATAATAGTTTGAATAGTCCGCTTAAAACTGATGACAGATTTAAAACAATGAATAATTCAATATGTCATTTAGCTTATTTAAAAATTCATTTCTTTTTTGTTTCATTTTTGTTTTATATTTAAAAAAAAATCAGTTTATGATAAGATTGAATAAACAAACCGGGTATTTTGTTTGTTTGTTCTTTTTTTTTTTAAAAAAAAATATGCATCGTAATCACTTAGTTTATTTTTTATTTTTTAAGAAAAAGAAGAAATAATGATTTTCTAGGTGAAATCATGAGTCAATTGAAGCTAGACTATCATGGAAAACCTGGAAGCACTGGATGGTCATTTTGTTCTATTGTGAGACTCCTCAGCGCTCGCACACAAGACGGGGACGGGGCGGGATCGTGGATGCGCACTTCTGAGTAGTCCCACAATAGGACAAAACCGCCGTCCAGTGCTTCCAGGTGTTCCATGATGGTGTAGTATCAGTTTATTTGTTAAGCCCATATGCTTTATTCCAGTTACTGGCCAAGCCAATTCGCCTATCCATTATGAATCATATTTTGATCTTATTCATTATTCGCTTATTAACCTTGACTATATTTTATATGAGCGTAATTGTGTGTACCCTTCGTATCCTATTCATCATATGTCTGTCATTCATTTTTGTCTGATTATAAATATTGAGTAATGCTTGCTTATAGCGAGTTGGCTTCCCAGCCATCTCCAATACGCATTATTTAGCTTCACTCTCGAGTTGGCTTCTCCGCCATCTCCACTGCATGTCATTTATGTCCTGCTCTCATCTATTTACTTCATCGTTCTGATTCCCTGGCCAGATCAATGAGTGTAGGAAATATATGTATTCTAAATCCATTCTCATATTTGACTTATTTAATTCCGTTATTCACCAACGCGGATAAAGTCATTAATTACATACGAGGATAGACAGTACGTACGATCAAAAAGGAATCAGATTTAGGCCACTACAATGGTCTGGTTTCAGTTGACTCATGATTTCAACTATGAAATTACTAAAACTCCACAAAATGACGCCTGAAAATAATGATTAGTTTAAATGTACAGAAATAATATTAGAAAAACGTATTTGTCTTCAGGGATTTCTTTTATTTCGAAAAGAAAAAGGGAGAAGAAAATTGTATTTTTTTTACTCATCAGAAAAGTCATTGATATAAACAATCAAATGAATGTCATAGGTCTGATGATGTAACGAGATCAGTTGAAAATCTTTCAAAAACTAAAAAGTAATGTAAATAGTTAGATATGAGAAAGTCATAGATTGACTGTTGTTCATTGTGAAAGATTTTCAAACAAGGTTATTAGCTGATATCAGGTATTGATCAAAGTAGTTTCTTTTTTAACTTCTCTACAAAATCATTTAGTTTTAGGGGTTGAATGTAGTTGACAAGAAGTTCTAGAAACAGATTTAGCGTTATTTGTCCCACGTCAACATGACATATTTATAATCTTGAGTTCACTGATGTTTTGTTTATCAATTGGGATATAGGCCATTTAGTTTTACAGTCTTAAATGTTACTAATGTACTTTTCGTATATCACCAGACTTTCTACAAAAATTGTGATATTTGCGTTGATCAGTTATTCATTAGTGACCAATGTCATGTTTATTCAGTTCATTGTAGCCATTGGAAAAGTAAGCGACTGTCCGTACTCAGTAATTGTGCAGATATCGCACTGGCGTTTGAAACGAACCAGTACATCGTTCGAATTCCGGAGTAAACATCAACTCGGAAACAATTATATCTGGCTGACGAGTTTCATTGTGTCACAATGTCTTTGTAGAGAAAATCCGCATAGAATATCCGTATATCAACTAAGATCGTTTGACTTTAAGTAGAAAATATCAAGAACGGGATAATGCGATCCACTTTAAACTGAATTCGTCATTTCATTTATTTCTGTGTAAAGTACTCCTACAAGACTGAAAGGATTCTCATCTTGTACTCACCCTAGATGGTGAGCAGATTGAAGTAGTTGAGAAGTTCGTGTATCTAGGTAGCTACATAAGTGCTGGTTGTGGCGTGAGTGATGAGATTGATGCACGTATAATGAAATCCAGAGCGGCTTATGCCAATCTGGGCCATCTGATGTTAGTGATGTTAGTCTGGCTGTAAAAGGTCGGATCTACAACGCGTCGGTGAGAGCAGTTTTGCTCTATGCTTGTGAAACCTGGCCTCTCCGAGTTAAGGATGTCAGACGACTCTCTGTGTTCGATCATCGTTGTCTCCGAAGGATTGCTGACATGCAGTGGCAACACCATGTTAGTAATGCAGAGGTTCGGCATCGTGTGTTCGGGCACAGAGACGATAATTCAATTGGTGTCACCATCTTGAAACACCGACTTCGGTGGCTTGGACATGTTTTACGAATGTCGTCCCAGAGACTTCCACGTCGTGCATTATTTGCCGACTCTGGGACTGGTTGGAAAAAGCGGAGAGGAGGTCAGTGTATGACATGGTGTCGTGGCATGAAAGAGAGCTGCAAAGGGCTAGTTTCTGTTGGTCCTTCACAACTTCCTGGCTGTGGTCCGAGAGATGGTGCAACACAGTGGCTAGAGACGTTATCAGATATGGCTCAGAATAGAAGCCAGTGGCTTGCCTTCTGTAACCTTCTTTTACTTTCTTCATAAAGAGTGGTTATAACTTTCTTAACTGAGAAAGTTCTTCTGGTTGTACATTTCAGTTCCCCCATCCTGACTCTTCTCTTTTGTTTCCCTTCTTTTATATATACGCATCTTCCCCTTTTCTCCTTCTATTCTCATTATTTTGTGTGGCGCATATGTATCCAGTGCCCTTTGTATCAATATGTATGTGATTAAATAAATAAATAAACTGAATTAAAATGTAATGCTTATTTAATTCTTGATAATGAGAGAATTCCATTGATCAAGCTGTAATGTTATCATTAATATTAAAAGGTTTACAGAACGGATTGATTTTAGTTTAAAAAAGCTTTGAAAACAAGAAATCTCTGAACACCGATTTCTTCCCAGTATGGGACTCTTTGAAAATGCTGTTATACGAATACCATTAAGAACTGAGTTCAGAACTTTCAGACTTTGTATAAAGCACTCACCTTTTAGACCACTAAGATAACGTCCAACGATTTGTATGTCTAACCTCAATCAACTCCCTATATTATGTAACAATCTTCCAACCCTCTTGTTGAGTATCCACTTAACACACAGAATTGCTGGATTCTACTGGTATATTTGCTTTCAAAATTGTCTTTGACAAACATTTTTCTTGGCATTGTCTAATACTGTCATCTTCATTCTCCTTTCCTCATCCAAAAAATATATCTATAGGTATATGTCAGTACATCAGATGTACAAATGCATGCAAATTATCATCGTAAAGATGCTGTTATTATACAAGAGGGTTTTCAACGATTTCGTGCAACAGAAGATTGTGGTATTACTAAATGTCCATTCTATAAAGAATGTACCACACATTTTCATTGTCGACGTAGTAATTGTCATTTTACATTTAAAAATAAAGCTGATATGGGTAAGTGGATTTTGTTTTTGATAGACAATATTTTGTATTATAAATTCTACATAAATGTATGTTTTGAGAAACAATCGACAATCACGTAATAGTCAAGAACTCTTCCTTATTTGATTTCGCTACCTCAATCTAGGAATCAAGTCTTAACAACCTACCTAGGACAGTTTACTGATAAGTAATATACTTCAACCATTACGGCTACAGCATTAACCATAATAGTTAACATTTTCAAAGTTGTCCAATTCAGCTGGTAAGCAAAATATTCACATCATGAAAATAACTTGTCGCTTAAATAATTGATAGTAATAACATGCAGTATCCAGGTAAGATCATAATCAATCAATGATAATGATGCGTCATACAGGTTTGATATTCAGCGGTTGGAATTATCTATCAGTGTGTAGTATGTAAACTATTTCTAGGTTTGAACTATTCTTAACCTGATCGTAGTCAGAGACGTTTTAGTAAGTTATGTAGGCCTCAACTGGCTCCTCAACAGTAAAAAATATCATATTTTTAAATTTTAAGTGTTGATTAAATTCTGTCGGTCATCTCTTTATTCTGTAAAGATATACTACTTAGTAATAGTGGGTAGAATAAATGTGAAATGAAATTAGTTGCACATTTGATCAGTATGAAATAAACTACGTTAACCTTTATTCTTATCTCTCTTTCACATTAGAAAAACACAAAGTACATCACCAGAAAAATGATAGATTTGCACAAGATGGATTTCGTCGTTATATAAAATGTGAAAATTGTGATTTTCCCGATTGTCAATATTCTGGAGTAATAAACCATATTCATTGTATTCGACCAGGTAAGTTAAGGATTTTATATTAAAAAAAGAACACTAAGCTAATCAGTTAATTAGATTTCGTTGTTTAAAAGAAATTTATACAATTATTGAAAAGCTGGAAATACTGGACAGTTGTTTTGTCCTAGCATAATAGTCTTCATCAGTGCTTCCACAACCTACTTGCTCAGTGCTTTCAGATTTTCAGTAATTGTTTAATTTAGATCCATTTATAATATTAATCGAATTAAGTAATCTCCACAAACTGTCATACTGGAAAAAGTAATTACTCAAATCAATCCACTCTAAAAGAATTATCTACTCAAGTTTCAAATGGTTCTTTTTTCATCCTTTCTTTAATATTCATTATATTTTAGTCTAGAATTAACTATTTTAGGTATTCAGTTGTGCTTTCGATTCCTTCACATCTATTATGTATCTATATTTATAATAATAGCTCATAAATTAAAGCCCGACCGATGCTGCTACTTTGACGTGGTGGTTGGGCTTGCCTATTATGATGAACCAATCGAGCTATACTGGCTGGAACAATTGTTCCTCAAGGTCCTACCATGTCAGACAGGTCGGTTGAAGAACGGTAAGACTAAAACCAGAAAACCCAAGGTCCGAAGGCGAAGTCGTACTGCTGACTGCAGAGGGTGTGACAGTGGTAAGGTGTTTTCTTCAAACAACCAGCATAACAACGATGTTGCCTTCCCACAGGGAGGGTGGGGTTAGAAAAGGTCGACCGTGAAAATGCACATCTCACCTTATCCCACGGATATCCGACTCAAGAAACACTGAAGAAGAAGTACTGAGCTAACACAGAAATTACTCAAAAAAGGTCATGTGTGAGCGACATCAAGAAGTTGTCCCTTGAGCACTGCGGTCACACTCTCAGGGCATTAAGACCACTTCCAATCCAATTTCATTTTCAGGTACCTCTAGAATAACCCTTCGATGGTATGGGCAACCGGGAAGTGATAACTGCCCTCATACCTCTAACAGCACTCAAGAACACTGGCTGACATAAATTAAAGTCCAAACTATTTTAGTAGATGAAACTTGTATTTCTTATAATGAGTAACTGCATCATGTTTAATTTTAACACATTCAGAATACTCCTTAGTTGTTCTTATAAATTCATCAGCCGATTATTAAAGCGAGAGATTTAACTCATGAAAAGTGTGCATATTTAACATGATGAAGAATATTTACATGTTAGGAGGAATGCTTTGGTGCTATTTTATTCTCTGAGTAAAACGGTTTTCACAACGTAGATTTTATTGTTTGCTAGAACAATATTATTAAAGCTTACTTGGTGTTATTTCAGTATGCTCCGATGCTTCGAGAGAGCATGCATAAAGAGATAGAAACTGGAATATTTTCGTTAGGATGCGGTGTCCAAGATCAGATACTGATACAAAACGTGCTATCTGCTAACCGCCCTTCCAAAGTGACCACTTCAGTGAAAAGATAAGAGTAAAAGAGGTCTATTTGGCTACTTAATAACAAGCATATATATATATATATTTCTACCCCTTAGGAAATCAATCTCCTTCGTAGCCAATGGCATGCACTTGTCCTTTAGGACATTTCTGATTAGCACTGAAAGACCTTCTCATTTGGTTACTTCTGATTGGATCACTGTATCAATTTGTAAGTTGGTTGCTAATCAGTACCTGAAATCGGTAACTCAAGTAGTGTGTTGCTTGGACGGCTGTAACAAGGCTTAGAATCCATTAGAGTGTACTTTGATGAAAGCGCGAAATACACAACGATGTATATTATGAACTGATATAACACTTGTAAAACAAATGAAAAATTCACTTATACATGATTTAGGCACTGATGCCATTACCCATAGCCATAAACCATCTACTATAGAGAATACTACACCATCATAAACGTGATTTAAACAGTTCCTTTCTTCTATGAAACAAAACGATTTCTTAAATATTTAATACAAATTATGTCTGATTTTTATCTTCCTACCAATCAATCTTTCTATATCACAACATAGAGTCAGAAAATTAATACCTTAAAAAGTTACAAAATCATGGTTGCATTATGTTCAATATGAATAGTAAATACCGGCTATTTATTTATTTAAACACATGAACATTGGTACAAGGAGACACTAAATATATATGCGCCACATTTCGTCATTCGATTTGTGTGAGGGCTGGAATACTGTCCAGGCTCCCACACCCAAACAGGTGATTTCCTTAGAGGGTCACACCTGGAGCATTTGATCTAAAGATGTTATCCAAAAGGCAGTGGTGAAACGTTAGTCCCATGGTATTCAGTGACTAATAATAGGTTCATACACCATTTGTTCCTTCAAGATCTTGGAGCCTATGCACATCACTAGTTTGAAACGAGTGTTTTCTAACTCCCCTAGTTGAACTCTTCGTATTCACAAAATCGGTTAAAGCTCCGGACACTTGATTTTCCTCCTCCCAACTTCGTAAACAACACCCGCGCTGCGAGGAGGCAGTAAGTAGGACTTCCCAGACAGTGGCTGTATATGCATGATCATTTGAGAGCATTTCGAGATAGAAAGCAGACTCTCCTCACTCTCGACTGTACCAGGGCCGTCCAGTGCTTCTACATCTTCCATGATTGTCTATATTTAATTGATTCATGATCTCAACTATTAAAATTACTATAATTTCCACAAAGACTCTTTCTGATAAATTTATTTAGTTGTACAAATTCTTCCAATAATCAATAAAATTAAGATCAAACTATTTAAACATAATCTATTATTATAATCAAAGATGGATAGTAGCTAGCAATCGAAATCCAGGACGCGCATTTTTTTCTATTTGGGACTCGTCAACTGGATGTACCTGCATTTCAGAGTTGATGTTCACTTTGGGACTCGAACTATTTCACATTTTATTATTAATCCTTATATTCAACTAATTATTTTGACTTATTATAATTCGATTTTATTTTTGTCATTTTTTTTTATTGTTGAAAATTAGGATGTGATTATGTAATACATTCATCTAGTCAAATTATGTCACATAAACGTAAACATGATAAACATATTACATCATTTTCACCTAATTGCATCAATATATTATATCATAATAATATAAATCAAACATTTTCTTCATCGAATAAAATCAATAATAATAATAATAATCATAATAATAATAATGAAGATTTAATCAATAATAATAATAATAATAATGAAATCAATAAAAATAATAATTTCAATATTGATCCTACATTAATTGATTCATTAGAAATACATAAATCAATATTAATTCCATTAAATAATAATTTAAAACAATCATTTAAAAATCAATCAATATTATTATCTAATCATAATTTAAATTATGAACATAATTTAAATTTAAATTTAAATTCAAATTTTAATCATATTGATTTATTATTTACAAATGATTATTTAAATAAAATTATAAAATTTATTAATTTATGTATATATCAACGTAATCATTGGGAAAAATCATTAATTAATAATTTTAATTATGAAAATTTATTATTATATAAAAAAATTGATAAAATTCTTATAACTATCTATCAATCATATAATCAATATACAAAGAAATGTTCATGGCCAAAATGTCATTCAAATATCAATATTGATATAGCAATACCAACAACAACCCCTACTACTAATACTACTACTACTACTACTAATAGTAGTAGTATTAATAGTAATGATAGTAATTTTAATGGTAATGATAATGATAACAAACAACAATATGAAAAATGTTTAAAACCTTGGTGTAAATATTGGTTATCTCATTTATGGGATATATGTTTATCATATTATACATATATAGAATGTAATCAATTGAATTGTTCAATGAAATCTACTACTACTACTACTAATACTACTGATAATAATAATAATGGTCATATACATTGTTATTATTGGCCAAAATGTAATTTTATTCATTCTATAAAAGATTTAAATTTTCAATTATTATATGAACATTTATTAACACATAATGAACAATTAATAAATAAATTAATAAATTTAATTCATAATTATAAACAATTCAATTATAATGAAAATCAAATAAATTATTATTATGTTGCTATGGATACAACTTTAATCAATTCAAAACGTAGAGGTAGACCACCAAAATATGCTAAACATATATATGTACCACATATTAATCCACCTGAACATTTATGTATTGATAATAAATATACTACTGATTTAACTTATTCAATGTTTTTTGATACATTAGAATTTGATAATAAAACAATATTACGTAATCCATATGATTATAATAATAATCCATTTAAACATATAAAATATGCTGTAAAATTATATTTAACTGGTGAAATATGCCCAGATATTAATTGTCCATATTATATTACCCAAGAACAACATTATCATTGTGTTAAACCAAGATGTTATATGGCAACAAATAATTTAGATTTAATCAATATACATCGTCGTGAATTTCATCAATATCATATAATTGAAAATGGTTTTGAATATTATGATATTAGTATTAATTGTCGTCGTCCTATATGTCATAATAATAAAATTAATAAACATTTTCATTGTTGTTATCCAAATTGTGATTATACATTTATACGTGCTAATACAATGAAACAACATATAAAAAAACATACAGAAAATTTAAAAAAATCTATAAAAAATATAAAAAATAAAAATAATCAATTCATTGCTACCATGGTAACAAATAATATATCAAAATTATTTCCACAATCAAAAGAATTACCTATAACATTAAATAATATACATAATGAAAATATGGGAAATCATTCATTATTATCGATTAATAATAATAATAATATAATAATAAAGAAAGATTGTATAGAAGATTCATCATTACCTGAATGTTTACCAATTTGGGCTCCTACTGCTGTTTCTGCTGCTGCTGCTGCTGCTATGGTTACAACTATTAATGATGTGAAAAAAATAGAATCAATGAGTTCATCAATAAAAATAGATTGTTCATCGAAATGTACAAATGAATGTTTATAATATAATAATCTTTTATTTGATTAATGTATATATGTATATTTTCCAAGGATTCAATTGATATGTTAGTTAGATAGTACAGGACATAATCTCGTTCAAGAATTAACTATCCACTATCAATTCACTGAGAAAAAGTATGTCGAATCTAATTGTATCAATTGTTTTAAATCTTATATTAATAGTAATCAATTTTCAATATTATGGCTGTTTATAATAGAGTAAAGAAATTGTTTTGTTTGATTTATAGGCCACCGACCAGCATTCTCAAATCCACTGTCTTCTGGATATTCCTTTATAGTTCAATCCAGTTGTTGTTCATTTTTCTCATGTCTGTCTCCATTTCTCGGAGTAATGTGTTCATCGGTCTTCCTCTTTTCCTTTGGCCTTTAGGATTACATGTGACGGCTTGCCTTGTGACGCAGTTAGGTGGTTTCTTCAATGTTTGTCCTAACCACTTACAGCGCTTCTTCCTGATTTCTTTTTCCTTTATAATCTGATTTGTTCTCTCCCATAGTAGGTTGTTGCTGACAATGTCTGACCAATAGATCCGAAGTATTTTGAGTAGACAACGATTAATAAACACTTATATCTTCTGGATGATGGATTTCGTAGTTATTCAAGTTTCCACCCCATACAGTAAAACTGCCTTGACATTCTAATAAATAAATAATATATTTGTAATATCCCAATGAGTAGAGAAATTAGATTTTTTGACGTTTCGTGACTCAGTGTAAGCCACTTATTCAGAGAATAAATAACCAAATTAACATTCTTATTAAAAATTCTGACTTTGGTGTTGGTTGACAATTGTTTTGAGTTCCAGATTTTCTTCAGTTGTAAATATGCTCCTCTTGTTTTGCCAATCCTCGCCCTCACATCTGCATAAAATCCACCGTGCTCATAAATGATGCTGCCCAGGCATGTAAACGTTTTTACATCTTCCAAAGCTTCTCCATCAAGTGTGATTTGATTCATGCATGTTGTGTTTTATGGGGGAATCTTGTTTTTCCCTTTGTGCATGTTGAGACTCAATGCTGCTGCCACACTGGTCTTCTCCTACATTTTTTGTTGTGTGTGCGATAAAAGAGCCAGATCATATGCGATTTTCAGATCGTCCGGCTGTATGTAAGATAAAATCTAATTAAAAATACACACTTTTTCCAATGTCCTAGAGATGATTTTCCTTTTATTCAAGAGAAACTAGTCTATATTCTAAAAAAAAAACGATGATTGTACTCAGTGTATTGTGAAACAATTCAGTTGTTTCATTATACACACATATTATCCATAATAGGTATTCATCAGGTATTACCAATGAATATACAAATGAAATATTAAACTGCTAGCTATAAATCAACTCTGTGATAAATGGTTGTTAAATTTTATGAAAATATTGAATTTAGTATTTCTCCGACCAGTTATTTTAAGAATAAAACTATGGTATGATAGAATTGTTGAGTCAGAAATGCTTAAGATTTACATAGAGCTTTCAGGTAAGTAGATGAATTTTTATACTGAAATGTGATAGATCAAATCAGGTGCTTTCGACATTTATATATTTCATGACGGACAGAAAAAATATTTGGAGCTCCACCAAAGTGATGTGCTATTATAGTTTCTTTTCTCAATAGCAAAATCAATGTATACAATCTTTAGCATCGCATTTTCTAATTACGTTAGTTTAATTTTTCAGCTACAACTATATCGAGTATATCAGTATAAATATTTGCGGAGATTGTAGTATTTTCGAGGTCGAAATGACGAGTCAGTCTACTCCAAACCACCATTGAAAACTTGGAAGCACTGAAAAACTGTTTTTTCCTCGTATGGGACTCCTCAGCAATACGCATCTACCATCCTGCACGTTGAACTCGAATCCAGGACCTTAGGCCTTGCTTACGAACGCTTGACTTTTAGAACTTTGTCTTTACATTCGGGCATGAGGTCGTGGATGTGCACTGTAAAGAAGTCGCATGCTACTAAAAAACAGCTGTCTGACTCTTCCCAGTTTTCAATCTTTGTCTATCCAGCTTCACTCCATGATGTAAACTAGAAAGTTAAACAATATCTCATAAAATCGCCTGTACTAATCACTGTCTTCTAACTAATTTTATCAATTATCCTTAAAGAGATTAATTCTTATTATGAACCATTTTTTTCTCACTTTACAACCCCAATAAACTTATCCTCTTTTTCTATACTCATTTTATTTTTCAGAATTAACTCCGGTAGAATAACTCCTTCTACACACAGTCAATAATAATTTATTCTTTTTGCGCCCAGTGAATATCTAACAATGTATTACATACAAATTTGTAATACATAAATGATACATTTCATGATTTATTATTAAGTCATTTTTCATTTGTTGATTTTAAATGATTTTGCTTTGAAATGGTTATTAATGTCTTCATTGCTAAACATAACTAAACATTCTTTAATCAGTATTGTTACAACTACTATTTATATTTTAAGTAGTATTATGTGCATATATATAAGTATGTTTATTTACAAGTGATATCCTTATCATAACAAAAGAATTTTTTTCTTCTTCATGATTCATAATTTTATTTGTATCCACCGGTTTCATACTAAAAAAACACTATTTCATTAAAGAAGCCTTATTTATTATGTTCTATCCTTTTTTTTATATATATTGTGAACAAGATTTAACTAATTCTCATTCAGTTCACTGGTAATCTTTTCACCGAATTTTAATTACCTCTTAAAAGAAAAGCATGAAGAAAGTGTTCTATTTGTATACAATGATGATCGTTGTCAGTTTTTCATTTGATGACTAATTCAGAATGTTATTTATTCTCAAACGTTTTTTTTGGCACCAACTTACTACTTATTAAATGGATAGTAGTATTAAGTAGAAGCCTCTAAATTGTAAGAGTATCTTGGTGTAAAACATTTTTTTCTTCCCTAGTATTATACTTACCTATCTGCCTTATTTTAAGTATATATATATATATATATATATATATATATATATATATATATATACTGACCATCTCTACCGAATTGTTGCCTTATCGATGAATGGAAATAACCTGTGAAACTATTTATTTTATATATTATAATGAAAGAATGGTTATTATCTTAACATAACCATTCTATGAACAATAAAGAGAATAATTAAATGTAAGAATTTTGAGTTCTCTATAAAATCGATTCATTTTTCTTTTCTCTTTAAAAAAAATGTTCATTGTTCATTTTCATCCTGAAATTATATTGATTTTCATTTTGTATTGGTTTCTTTTCTTTTTCTTTTTTTTTCTGTTCATTACCTTGTTTACAATGATTTTTATCTTCCTTTCTTTTCTATAAAAATATAAAATAACTATCCTCTAATAAAAAAAAAACAAATCCTCCCACCATCACCTTGACGATAAATAAAAATCTTATTGAAGACCTTTAAATATCACACCTTTTATATAAACAAACTGTTGAGTGTTTTTAGTTTGTATAACTTTAATTTATTTTTTATTTAAACACATAAATATTGGTACAATACGGCACCAGATAAATATGCGTTACACAAATCTCATTTGATTTGTATGAGGGCTGTGATACTGCCTAGGTGCTTAAACCGAAACAGGTGGTTTTCTTAGGTGGCCACACCTCAAGCCTTTGACCTAAAGGTTTGATCCACAAGACAGTGCAGCATCGTGAGAAGATGCAGTCCCATGATAGCCGGTGACCAGCAATTGATTCATATTCCATTTGTTCCTTCAAGATACTGGAGTCCATGTATACCATTGGTTTGGAATCAGGGTTTTCCAATTCCCTAAGTGGTTTCACCGTGTCCACCAACCCGGTTGAAGCACTGGACATTCGCTTTTCGTCCTACCAATTTCGTATACAACACCCCTGATGTGATAAGGCAGTGAGTAGGACTTCCCTGGTAGAGGCTATATACACGTGGCGATGTGAGAGCATTTGGAGAGGGAGAGTGGACTCTCCCCACTCTCTGCCGTATCAGGGCAAGTGTCATTTTGTATAACTTAATGTGAATGATATGGAAAAAATGTTTATATTTAAGTGGAATATCAAACAAATTATGAATAAGAAAGTAACTTCAAAGTTATTACACACAGATCAATCTAGAATGATGTTAACTGTCAACTATAAATCACTTAACTGTGATTTTGGGAATGAAATCATTGTGAATAAGTATAAAACATATAGGAGTTAAAGTAATATTTTCCCTGTAATACTTGTTAGTGTTAATAAAGAAAACTACAAATAAGAAACAGGTTCGGGGTTAGTTATGAGTTGTAATTCAGATTTAGAATGAGGATTTCTGGTTTAATATATGGGGTTAAAGTTTCGTTTTATGATTAGGATTAATGTATGGTGGAATACCTTTCGAGATAATTCATATGATTCGCATATAATTCTCCTTAATAACTGTTATTGGGTAACTCCCAACGATGTATAAATTTCAGAAGATAATATGAAATGTTGACTACCGTTTATTGTTGTACAGCACAGATCACAAATACACAAACACACGAAGTGAGCATGAACTGAAATGAGAATGAAAATCAGAGTGACTGAATCGATAGAATTACAAAAACACATTTAGTAAAGTGAATAAACCATCGTGAGATGTAAGTGACCAATATTGAATCTGGTAAAAAGAATATTTGTGTATGCTGTAACGCGTGGTTACGAATATACTCATACAAAAACATTATAATATTACAGAGATAGACAAATTATTTTTGACCTAGTGACTTTGTCTGTCAAATAAGTCAATTAAAGAGCTTAACAAAATTAAACGAATACAGAGTCCAGTGTAGGTGAGATGATATATCAAAGTGCCTAAAAACAGGATTTCGGAAAAAGTTTAAATTTAGGATTAGGGTTGGAAACAGGCTTTCGGGTTAGATCTAGGAGTTGAGCTACGTATAATCCTAATCTAAATCCTAACCTTTAAAATGATGCTCACCTTGAACACTGTCAATCAACAACATATAGCCAACATGTAAAAGTTTATTCACGTAATGACAACATATTATTAGGAAATCCTCTGATTTGTATTTGATATGCTCCAAATACAATCATTCTATTTGGATCCAAGATGAAAGTTATTTTCCTTCAGGAGAGACACAATGGTCTAATCAAACATCCGTGAATTCATTAAGCTTGCACAACTAGTCAAGATATGACCATTTTTATGGTAAGAAATACACCCCACTAGTGGGAAAATCCGGTTCAAATATCCAAGGGATGTATATATACATATATAGTCGGGTGATCACAAGTTCCCTTTCCACTCTTAGTCTTCTCACTTATGTAGCTTGTTGAGTTCGAGAATGGGGAGCTCGTTATTAGTAACAGAATCAGAGACCACATAACACAACAGTAATATTATGTTTATTGATTCTTAATTGGTTAAGATCTCCTGAAGGTCAGTTTAAAAATCTCTTGAGTTCAGCATTATAGCTGGAATTTCAATAAACCATTTGAATTGTTAAATTTACTTTATCTGTCATAACAAGTTTTCGAATAAGGTTCAATTTTAATAAATCTTTCACTAACGAATTGCGTTAAACAGGGGATAAATTTAAATATGGACTAATGAGTTTTGAGTTAGTATATTAGACATGAATTTTTTTAAGATCGATCTCTTATAATGTTATCGATACACACAGTTGAAGTGTTTGAAAGTTGG